CATTGGAGGTAGCGGAGAAAGTGACGATAAATCCGCCGACCCTGACGGCATGTGTGAAAGGCTTTTCCGTTTGAGTCGTCGCCATCGTCGCCGCGCCCCTCATGCGTTCCGGGTGACTTTGGAAGGATACAGGTGGGTCGTAGGTCGTGGTTGCCTGACAAGTGATAGGCGTTCTAGGAAAGAAGTGCCTTGGGAACATCGTGACGAGAAGATCGTGCCACAGCATTGGAGACACGGCGAATGTGCACAGGGCGCGCATCGATGACGAAATCGCTGATGCAACCACATCCACTAAGGCGAAGCCAAGACGGGGATAAAATCGGGTGAGAACAGATCGAGGATCTCTGAGATCCGGCGGCTCTGGAGGATGTATCGGGCGCCGCGGCCTTCTCGGAGCGTTCTGGAACGCTCGGAGGGCGCTCCGGAACGCTCTGGAACGGACTTGTCCTCGTCCTGGCCCCGTCCGATGCACACCCGTTCCGCCGTCGCGAGCAGGCAGCATGTCCACGTGCACGGCCTCGCGGCCACGCATGTGTGGGGGGGGGGGGGGGGCGCTTCTCCGCCGAGTGCCCCGCGCGGAGCGCGCCCAGGCGTCCGCGCATCCGTGATGGATCGCGCACCCGGAGTCTGGACCGCGAGGGCGCGGATGTGGATATCAAGAGAGCCCCAGACATTACACCACCGCCAGCCCTGGCCAGGCGAAGCGTGGGCCCTGGACTGGTGCACAGGCATTCCCGGCCGAGGCCAGGAGGTCTGCACACCGACGCAGGGCCCAGGGAGTGCCTGGCCAGGGCTGGTGGTGGTGTGTAGTTTGCGTCCCTTGGAGATCTGTTCGCCGCTCGTGCTTCCGTTCTAGGGCCAGCTCCACTGCAGCACATGGGGCGCACAAGGACATACCAGTACTGTGCGTCCTCCTCGGAGGGGTGCGTCCGACCCGATCATACAGTACAGCCATCATGTCGAATAGTCTTTCCTCTGAAAATCGGGGTAAGATGACAAAGGAATAAGGTCTCGTGTTGACTCTGCTCAGTAGCAGAGGATACGGGAAGAGACATCGATGAAACTACAAGTAACCGTTAAGCAAGTGTACTCAGGAATAGTAAGTGAGGAGGCCGGCCGGCCGACGACACGACTACGACGAGGGAGCGACCCCTCGGCACGCGCGTGCGGGCCAGCACGCTCCTTTTAACTCCTGCAAGCACAAACAGCTGCGGTGCAAAGCCGCAGTGTCAGGGTGAGGCAAGGAAGGCAGCGAGAGAGGCAAGTGTAATATGAGGCGGAGAGGAGCATATTTACTCGAATATCGTTTCCCGAGCGGTGCGGACAGGAAGCGCCCGCCACGAGCCATATATTATAAGAATTCTGGGTGCGCGCGTCGCCCCTTTGGGGGCGGCGCGCACATAGCATTGGTACAATCGAACCTCGGCCAGAAGAACATCCTCCAAGAAAACGGGACCCGCCGCCCTCCAGAACCCACAAAACATCCAAAGGTACCCTCTCCAGGATGCACAAGAACGTCCAACAAACACGAGGAACGCTGGGGCAGCCTCCCCGATTCCGCCTCGATCTTACACCTCGGTCCGACTGCAGGCTGGGGAGGGACGCCGAGCACACGCCGAGGCGCGAGCGCCGCCTCCGCGTGCGCCACGAGGCAGACCACCGCGATGTCGGCGCCCTTGGCCTCCGACGTCTGGTTCGCGAACCAGACCTTCTCGGCATCTCCCACGTGCTCGCTGACGCCCTCGGCTTGGCCACCGCCGCGGGGGCTGCCGCCGGCGTGTGCTGCCCGCCTGCGCTGCAGGCCCTCCGCAGGCACGACCGGCCAGAGAGCCCGTCGATGCCCCCACCGCTGGAGCAACGTCGCTGGCGGCAGCGAGGAATCCGCAAGCTCCGCCGCAGACCAGGCTGCGTTCTGCCTTCCTCCCTCCCCCCGCATCCCGCTTCCTCGCTGCTTCTCTCCTCCAGCGCATTCGCTCGCTCACCCCATTTCCCGCTCGCGTGATCCTTCCTCTCGTCCTCCTCCTCCTCCTCCTCCTGCTCCTCCTCCTCCTCCTTCTCCTCCTCCTCCTCCTGCTCCTCCTCCTCCTCCTGGACGCTCGGCGCTGTCGGCATAAGAACCCTGTCCTCCGCTTCCTTCTCCGCCCTCCTCATCCTCCTCCTCCTCCTCCTCCTCCTCCTCCTCCTCCTCCTCCTCCTCTTCCTCCTCCTACTCCTCCCCCTACTCCTACTCTTCCTCCAAATCCTATTAATGCTTCTCCATCCTGCTCCTGATTCCTGGTTCCTGGTGGCTGGCGAGAGATCCATGATCGCAGCCTCCAGTCCTCCTCCACCTCCTCCACCTCATCTTCCTCCTCATTCTCCTCCTCCTCCTCCTCATCATCATCACTATCAGCATCAGCATCAGCATCATCACCATGATCATCACCGCCATCATCATCGTGATCATCATCATCACCACCACCATCATCACCACCATTATCACCACCACCATCATCACCATCATCATCAGCAAGAGCATCAGCATCAGCATGAGTATCAGCATCAGCACAACAATCATCATCATAACCAACACCACCACCACCATCATCACCATCATCGTCATCGTCATCATCATCACCACCACCACCACCACCACCACCACCATCATCATCATCATCATCATCGTCATCATCATCATCATCATCATCATCATCATCATCATCGTCATCATCATCATCATCCTCATCATCATCATCCTCATCAGCAGCATCATCATCACCACCACCATCATCATCACCACCATCATCACCACCACCATCATCACCATCATCATCATCATCATCATCATCATCATCATCATCAGCAGCAGCAGCAGCAGCATCATCATCATCATCAGCAAGAGCATCAGCATCAGCATCAGCATCATCATCATCCGCATCATCATCCTCATCATCATCATCCTCATCAGCAGCATCATCATCACCACCACCATCATCATCACCACCATCATCACCACCACCATCACCACCATCATCATCAGCAAGCGCATCAGCATCAGCATGAGTATCAGCATCAGCACAACAATCATCATCATAACCAACACCACCACCACCATCATCACCATCATCGTCATCGTCATCATCAGCATCATCATCACCACCACCATCATCATCATCATCATCATCAGCATCGTCATCGTCATCATCGTCATCATCGTCATCATCGTCATCATCGTCATCATCATCATGATCATGATCATCATCGTCATCATCACCATCAACATCGCGATCATCAGCATCATCATCGCCAGCATAATCATCAGCATCAACATCATCAGCATCAGCATCGTCACCACCACCACCACCGTCATCATCATCATCATCAACATCATCATCATCAACATCATCATCATCATCATCAGCATCATCATCATCATCAGCATGATCAGCATCGTCTTCCCTCGCCTCGACGTCATGTTGCTCCTCCTCCTCCTCCTCCTACTCAATCTCCTCCTCCTCCTTCTCCTCCTCCTCCTCCTCCGTGCCAGTGACATTCGTTTCTCTGCCCCGTCCCTCATCCTCCGCACTCCGCTCTGCATTCTCCGCCTCCCTCGCTCCCCTCCCGTCCCGCCGAGGCACGGGAGGTGGCCGAAGCCGCGGGCAACTCTGAGCGCCTCGCCTGGAAGGGCGTCACGACCTTGTTGGTCTCGACGTAGCCGCTGCCGCCCTCCCCTGCTCCTTTCGCACCCCCTCCTCTGCCCCCCCCCCTCTCTTCTCCCGCATCTGGGGAGACCAAGAAGTACCGATGCCGCGAAGTACTCCCAGAGTGTCAAGGCGAACCCAGCGGCGGCGACGAGGGGCTCCCAGGAGGCCCAGGACAAGCGAAAAGGAGAAGAGTGTGGTGGTATCAGTACCTTTTCCTCACCCCGCCTCTTCCCCAGCCGCCCCGCCTCTTTTTCCACTGCTGCAGCGCAGCCCGCGCCGCGCACATAACTATCGCCCCACGGGGCGACCGCCGCTGTGCGTCTTTACTTGCAGGACGTGAGCGTTTCCCAACCGCCCCGCCCCGCCGCATGTTCCCCCTCCAAATCTCTCCTCCCCCTGAAAATCCTCCAGAGGGGTCCGCCAGAATGCATTCTCAAGAACAGAGGTGGCGATCTCGTTTAAACGCTCGTCACGTTTCAAGTTCAGAGTGTTGATTCCGTTCAAACGCCTGCCACCTTCTCAGCCTCACGCTCAGCCACACTACACGCGCGGATGGGTGCCATCGTCTTGGCGACAACTACGTTCTGCTCTCTGAACTGTGGTATCGCATTCATGTTGGTCGCATGGCCCACCTGAAACGCAACAATTCGGACAGTCGCAACTAGACTTGTTCAGTTGTGCGTGCGCTTCTATGCATAACCGCAGATGTCGCCGTGCCGGTTGTTCTCGACGCGCCCAAGTGGACGACGCCAACACCACGGCAAACCCACGGCAAACCCTGCCTCCCACGCCCCAAGTAGACGAAGCTGGCACCGCAGCAAACCCCACGGCAAGCCCACCGCGCCCGAGGCGGCGTTTGCCCTGGTGGCCGAGGCGCCCTCCCCAAAACGGAAGGCCGCGCGTCGGAATCAACGGCGCGGTGACAGCTTTGACTGCAGGGATCCACGGCAGCACACCCGTGAAGAACTGGCAGCGGCAACCGTCGAGGGTATTGACGCCACAAGGGGGAAGCAGTAGAAGCCTCTGCTCCTCGTCCGCTCCGCTGCTCCGCTCAGCCCCGCTCCGCTCCCTCCTCTGCCTCCCTTCCTCTCTGCTGGGGGCACCCATCACTAGAGGCGTCCTAGATGGGGTCGGAGTAGATGGGGTTGGAGGATCGCGCCGCATCGCCGATACATCGGAGATGCATCGGCGATGTATCGGCGATGCACCGGCAATGCATCATCGGCGACGTCGACGTAAAGAAAATCGGGCTCCACATCGAGCCGCATCGCCGATGTATCGGCGATGAGACACGTTTCTCCGACCCCATCTACTCTAGGGAGCCCACAAAGGACGTACGCGCCCAGCTATGTACATGAACACGGCCCCTCGATCCGCGAGACTGGCCGCGTTACACGAACATGTGCGCAATGCGTACTCTCGAAACCAGCGTGGATTCATGTACATGTACGTCCTTCTTTCGCTCCTGATACTCCGACCCCACGTAGGAGGCCTAGAACCACACAGGGGGATCCCCGGGCATTGGGGTTCAAAGTCGGTCAAACCACGCCTCAGCAGCAAACCCGCCGGGCCCCCCCTCCCCCCTCCCCGCCCCCCTCCCCCCCACCCCTCCCCCTCCCCCTCCCCCTCCCCCTCCTCCCCCGCTCCCTCCTCACTCCTCCTCCTCCTCCTCCTCCTCCTCTCCTCCTCCTCTCCTCCTCCTCCTCCCCCTCCTCATCTCCTCTCTCACTCCTCCTCCTCCTCCTCCTCCTCCTCCTCCTCCTCCTCGACGCGCGCGGCCTCTCCTCGGAGCCGGTCACGGGCGCTCTCATGGGGGCGAGGAGGCGGGGGCGAGCGAGCATGCAGCAGTGCAGTCGAGGGCACGACGGCACAGAGCAAAAGGAGGGTGAAAGGGTGAAAGGTGGGCTCGATCAAGCACCGAGCACGCAGGACCCTCCTGCCCGGCTCGCAGGCGAAGATGGGTGCGAGCAGCCCAGGCGAGGACACTGCAAGCATCCAGGGGCGCCGATGATCGACGTCTTCGGCGAGGCCCCTCGGCGACGACGTGTCATGCTCGCCCCTGGGCCGTTCGCCCCTGCCGTCGCCACCGACACTGCGGCCCTCCGCTCGCCCTCCCTCCTCTCGGCGGCGAGCCCGGGGAGGGAAGCGAGAGGGGGCGGGCGAGGCTCGGAAGTCCCCCAGCCTTCTGAGAAGTTCTCAAAGCTCTCCCCGAAAACGCAAGCAACCTCGCCCGGCCCTCCTCTCCCTCCTTCTCCCGCCCGGCGTCCTCCCTGGGCGCTGCAAACTGAGAAGGGGGGGGGGCGATCGATGCGGGGGGGCGAAGAAGCGTGCACCTTTCGTGCCCCCTCTGGGCCACGAAGGGCCCCGTAGGGCGCTTGCAAGGTGGTGCACCTTTCTCCACCCCCTCCAACCTCCTGCTCCCCCCCATGCTCCTCCCCTTCCTCCCCCTCCTCCTCCTCCTCCTCCTCCCCCTCCTCCTCCTCCTCCTCCTCCTCCTCCTCCTCCTCCTCCTCCTATCGCCCCCCTCCATTTGCGCAACGCCCGCCCTCCTCGGGGACGCACCGACCCAAGTCAATACAAACCCGGGTCCGTCGGATTTGCGCGCAGCATCCTGCAGGAGCCTGCGCGCGCAACCACGGGCCAATGCACCCCTGGCCCTGCAGGACCCTGCAAAATCTGGCGCTCTGGCCGACCCCCCGGTGACCCGGTGCAGGGCGCGAGGAGGAGGAGGAGGAGGAGGAGGAGGAGGTGGAGGAGGAGGAGGAGAGGAGGAGGAGGAGGAGGAGGAGGAGGAGGAGGAGGAGGGTGGAGGGGAAGGAGGATGGAGGAGGAGGAGGTGGAGGAGGAGGAGGAGGAGGAGGACGGAGGAGGTAGGAGGAGGGGAGGTAAAAGTGGAGAAGCAGGTGGAGGGAGAAGGGGAGGAGGAGCAGGAGGAGAAGGCGGCGGGGAGGGGAGCAGGAGCGGAGAGGAGAGGCATGAGCTATGCGCTGGGAGGAGCAGGAGGAGGAGGAGGAGAAGGAGGAGGGCTAGGGCAGGAGGAGGAGGTAGGAGCAGGAGGAGGAGGAGGAGAAGCAGCAGGTATGCGGAGGAAATGAGGAGGAGGACGAGGCGGAGGAGGAGGAGGAGGGGCGGAGTAGGAGGGCGGAGGAGGAGGACGAAGGAGGAGGAGGAGGAAGAGTGAGGGCGGAGGAGGAGAGGAGGAGGAGGTGGAGGAGGAGGTAGACAAAGCGTGAGGAGGAGGAGAAGGAGGGGAGGGAGGAGGAGGCGGCAGGAGCAAGGAGGAGGAGGAGGCAGGAGGAGGGAGGAGGAGGAGAGGGGTGGAGGAGGGTATGAGGCGGTAGTGGAGGAGGAGGAAGAGGAGGAGGAGGACGGTGAGGCGGGAGAGCAGAAGGAGGGTGGAAGGAGGAGGGAGGAGAAGGAGGAGGAGAAGGAGGAGGAGGAAGGAAGGAAGGAAGGAAGGAAGGAAGGAAGGAAGGAAGGAAGGCAGGAAGGAAGGACGGAGGAGGAGGAAGGAAGGAAGGAAGGAGGAGGAGGAGGAGGAGGGAGGGAGCGAGGGAGGAGGAGGGGAGAGGAGGGGAGGAAAAGGAGAAGGAGGAGGAGGAGGAGGGAAAAGGCGGAGGGAGGAGGAGGGGAGGAGGAGGAGGAGGAGGAGGAGGCGCTCTGGCGGACCCCGTTTGCATGGACCCCCGCCTCGAGGCTGCCGTCCGCCGCCTCCGCCCCCTTCTCCCGGCCCGACGGCCCCTCCCCGGAGTACGGGGCGCCCTGCCCGTAGCTGGGCTCCACCGCCTGGTCGCAGTACCGGCCCACCATGGCGATCCTCCGCGGGCCAGCTGGCGGGGGAGGGAGGGAGGAGGAGGAAGGAAAAAGGAGGAGGAAGAGGAGGAGGGGGAGTAGAAGGAAGAAAGGAGGAGGAGGAGGAGGAGGAGGAGGAGAAGGAGGGAGAAGGCAGGAGGAGGCCTAGGACTAGGACGATGGCCTGCCTCCGAGGAGACAGGTCCGAGAAAGGAGGAGGAGAAGGAGGAGGAGGAGAAGGAGGAGGAGGAGGAGGAGGTCATGGTCATCCACAAAAGGGGGTCAACGTCAACACCTACGAAGGAGATGCGCGCGCAACTAGCAAGATCCCCTGCGATTGGATTACGCAGCAGCCCCAGACTTCTCATGGGGCAGGCAGGGGGCATATGCCTGAGCTTAAGGGGGCGAGCTCAGATGTGGCCCCGTAATAGGGGCTCGTTGAATCAGAAGAGTCCCTACGGGTCAGTGCGAGGGGAACAGCTGCTGGCCTTTTCGCGTGCCCCCTCTGGGGGAGGCGCTGGCGAACAGGGTTTCCAAGCAGGGGGGTTCCCTGAACCCTTCATTAATTTGTGGGACAGAGTTCCTGCACCCCGAGACGCCCCCCCCACCTCCACAGAAGCTCCGGCACTCCGAGATGTCCTCGCTCGTGCTCTCCACTTACTACGCCGCGACAGCTGGGAGGGGGAGTTGGGAGGAAGGATGGAGGCGGCGGAGGAGGGAGAGGAAAAGAAGGAGGGAAGTGAGAAGGTTTGTGGAGGGCGATGGAAACAGTGGAGGGCCACATGCAATGAACATCCCGACTCCTTCTCAACCACCGCCTTCTTGTCGTCCTCGTCCTCCCCCCCTCCTCCTCCTCCTCCTCCTCCTCCTCCTCATCATCATCACCATCATCATCATCATCATAATCATCAGCATCATCATGCACCCGAGTCCAAATCGACCGATGGCCCTACCTGAACAACAGCCCCACACAGCACCTCACCACCATGAGGATTTCGCTGCGTCCCTCAAGGGAAAATGGAACTTGGAGAGGTGTGCGGATGACAAACTCATGGGGGGGACTGAGAATGAAAACAGGGACCAGGGGTCAGAGAGCTTCAGTCCAGCCCTCTGTTCGATCTCGTCCTCGTGCTCTTTCTTGAAATCCGAGGAGTAGTGCTCTTGCGCAGTTCGAGACTTTCCCCAATCAGTGCTTGCACTGAAGGGGTCCTAGCGGAAATTGAAACATTGAGCGAAAATTTCTGGCCGATTTCGGTAGGCGGCCGAGATTCTGTTTCCGGGCTCCTGGGCCCCAAATGCTAGTTCCAGACCGGCTTCGGAGGGCGGCGGGGTTCCCGGGGTTCCAGTTTCTTGCTACCTGGCTCCCAGGTTCGCGGTCGATCTCACGATTGGTCTCTCAATCGAAATCACCATCCATCTCACAACATCGATATCACTATCGATCTTACTACCGATCTCACTATCGACCTCACTATTGATCTCAATATCGGTCTCACTACTATCTCAATATACGTATCGATCATACTATATCATTATCAATCCCACCATCGATCTCACGATCGGCCTCACCATCGAACTCACGATCTTTCGCACGATCGGTCTTACGATCGTGCCACTACCGATGCCACTATCGGTAGCACGATCGATGTCACCATCGATGGCACTATCGATCGCACTATCGATCTCACTATAGATCCCACGATCGATCTCTCTATCGATCTCACTACCCATACCACTCAACCGGTGTCGCTATCGATCTCAGTGTTGACCTCCCTATCGATCTCACTATCGGCCGCACTATCCATGTCACTCAATCGATCTCACTATCGATCTCATGATCGAACACACTATCAAACTCTCCATGCACCTCACCCAATTAATCACCCGATCGATCTTACTACTAGTCCCAATATCGATATCGTTATCGTTCTCGCTATCGATCTCACGATCGATCTCACTCAATCGATCTTACTACCAATCTCACTATCGCTCTCACTCTTGAACTCACTGGATCTCACAATCGACCTCATTCCCGCTAGCACAACATAGCATAGCATACAGCATAGCACGGGACACCCCCGCGCCACGGGACACCCCCGCGCCACGGGACACCACGGGACACCACGGGACACTACGAGACACCATCGGGACACCATCGGGACACCACAGGGCCACTGCCGGCCAACCCGGGGGACAGCAACGTCTGGCTCGGCTTCGCCCTGGCAACAGCGGGGATATTCCACTCGCCCGCCCACGCACGGCTCGAACACGAAAGCCGAACAAATTTCCTGGCGGGGGGGTCTCCGTTTCACGGCGATTTCACCTCCACCTTTCGATATACCTGTATACATACACGCACATATATATACACAAAACTGCATTGGCGCTGCGCGCCATGCACCTTGGTCCTTTGGCATTCGCACGCTAGCGGAGTGCGAGCGTGCCTACATGCGCACACACACATGCGTCTATGAATGCATAGTACATATGTACATATATGTATACGTTTGTATGGCTATGTACATGTATATGCAAATGGTCAGTGTAACTATGTGTGCGCATACACATGCGTATATCAGGCGGTAGTGGCCTGACCAGGTGCTCATATCATCGCGCCACTATAAGGCGCGAGGGTCTCAGGCAAACGTGGTCAGACTACTGTGGGACAGTGCGTCGCCGAGGTCCGTGTTGCCAGGACGCCCCGGGTGAAAATGGCCTGAACACTTCCGCTCAGGGGAGGGCATATCCGAAGTCAGCCGGGCGAGGAAGTTTCAAGCGAGGAGTGGTCTGAACACCTCTGATCAGGGCATCCCTGAACTTAGACTTGCGTGAAGTCGCACGCGAAAGTGCTCCTCGTTCTATTTGTCCTCGTATTCTCCTGTGCCCGTTTCTTTCCCACCCTTCCTCCTGCTTCTCCTCCTGTTTCTCCTCCTCAGTCCTGTGCCGCTTGAGCTGAACCGGAAGAGCTTGCGAGGATGAGGAGAAGGAGGAAGAGGAGGAGGAGGAGGAGGAGGAGGAGGAGGAGGAGGAGGATGAAGACGAGGAAGAGGATGGGGACGAGGACAACGATGACGACGAAGAAGGCGACGACAAAGAGAAGGGATAATGAGAGGAGGAGACCGCCGTGTTAGGAACTCGTGGTACGCCTCTCGGGGGCCTCTGGGAGGCAGTTTTGAAGCCTCTTAGGGGCTGTTTGTGGGCCTATTGGGACTTTTTGTTCCCAGCCCTCCTGCGTTGGGTACTCGTTTTGAATAAAGCACTGCGGTCTCCGTTCTCCTCCTCCCGCCCCCCCCCCTCTCTTCCCTCCTCCTCTCCTCTCTTGATTGCCTTCTCCTCCTCTCTTCGCTCCTCCTCTTCTCTTCTCTTGCTTTTCACGTCATCCCTGGCGGGCTGCGATCTGCGGAACTGTCACCACTTTCGAGGGCTGCTGGTGGGTCCAGCGGAGTGAGGCACCACGGGGACTCAGATTAGACCTCGCCATCCCTGGGGGGGGGCTGCGATCTGTGAAACTGTCGCCACTTTCGAGGGCTGCTGGTGGGTCCAGCGGAGTGAGGCACCACGGGGACTCAGATTAGACCTCGCCATCTCTGGGGGGGGCTGCGATCTGTGAAACTGTCACCACTTTCGAGGGCTGCTGGTGGGTCCAGCGGAGTGAGGCACCACGGGGACTCAGATTAGACCTCGCCATCTCTGGGGGGCTGCGATCTGTGAAACTGTCGCCACTTTCGAGGGCTGCTGGTGGGTCCAGCGGAGTGAGGCACCACGGGGACTCAGATTAGACCTCGCCGTCTCTGGGGGGCTGCGATCTGTGAAACTGTCGCCACTTTCGAGGGTTGCTGGTGGGTCCAGCGGAGTGAGGCACCACGGGGACTCAGATTAGACCTCGCCATCCCTGTGTGAAGCTGTCGCCACTTTCGAGGCTGCCGGTGGGTCCAGCGGAGTGAGGCACCACGGGGACTCAGATTAGACCTCGCCACCCCTGGGCGGCTGCGATCTGTGAAACTGTCGCCACTTTCGAGGGCTGCTGGTGGGTGGCCAGCGGAGTGAGGCACCACCGGGGACTCAGATTCTGACCACGAGCAATGCTCGCGTGCCCTTGCTCTGCGGTTCGTGCCACGCGGCGCTGCGACTCGAGCTGGCGGTCGCCCTTCGGACCCGCAGAAACATCTGCTGAGCTCGATGAGCCAGGGGAACTACAGGAAAGAAGTGCAGGAAACGGAGGCCGGTCATGCACTCGCCGATACCTCGTTGCTCTGTCATCGTCTTTGCTGTTGCATGATCCTTATCTGGCCCGCCGGCGCCGCGGCTCGAGCTGGCGGTCGCCCTTCGGGCCCGCGGGAACATCTTCTGAGACAAGTGGACGCCGCCGCCTTACTTGCAGGCAGCGCATTGCATTCGCGGACAGCAGCATGGCAGACCGCAGTGAGATCCTCAGTCGCGTGGTGTTGCCAAGCCTGGTGGAGACGCGCGTGATCGACCTGAAGTCCCAATCGCGCGTGCACTGTACCTGCGTGGCGTTCAGGCACGCGCGTGATGCTGCTCGCTCCGCGTTCAACCAGTACGTCGCCAGTGCAACTTTGGACGATGGACAACCGATTGATGATACGCGACCCCGGCCTTGAGTTTCTTTCCCGCGGGCCGCCCGCAGACCTGGCGGCGCGCCTGCGAGCGTTCAGCTCCCGCGCTGAAATGCGCGGGAAGGAGGCGGAGAAGCTAGCGGGCGAGCTACGCCTCGCTCGCTCCTTGCACTCTAAACAAGTTTTATCATGCGGAACTCTGCGACGACATGGCGCAGGCAGCGCTGCGGGTTTAGCTCGCACTTGAAAAACGCGGCAGTCTTCTGTCTCCTCCCGCCACTTTCATCGTCGTCCTATTCCCCGCCTCACCTTCTCCATGCATGCTGCTGCTTCCGCGATGGCCTTTCGCCCCCCCCCCGCCCTCCATTCCATCCCTCTCCTACCCCTCGTTCCCGTACCCGTTCTTCTTCGATCCGGGGGCCTCAAGCCTCGTTCTTTCGATCGTCGT